ATTATGGACACAACTAAAGCCAAACCCATAAAAAGCAGTCTGTGTGATGTGTGCACGTAAATGTCACATCTCAGCAACAAGTCAACACAGTAAAGCAGCAGGTCTTCACTCACAGTTCAGTACAAATCAAGCATAAATGCCCATTTCAGGATTTATCATGTATTCCACAAAAAACAACCAGGCACACCAACCAGTACCTAAGATCACGGTTTAAAAATACAGCAACAAAAACTTCTTAAAGTATTTACATGGGGGTGCTTTAGGTGGGTCAGTCAAACAGGCATGAGGGGTGGGTCAGCTACACCAAGACCAACTACTCCTGGAATGAATCCGTTTAGGAAAGAGAAGCAGTCCTTCCAGGAATTCCTCCTCCTCCAGGTTTCTAATCAACCACGGCTTATTGAACTGTATGGTTTGGTTTTGTCTGTCTCCAGTTAGGGGTATTTACACTGTAGGAGTAATATGATCCTGCTTTGAGAAGACATCCAGGAGGTTGGAAGCTGTGGTGCCTTCTCCAAACCCTCAAACAGTTTTCTGCTATGCCAAGGCCTTTACTACAAATGGTGGCAAATCTTTTAATTCAACGTTGGCAAAGCTAAAATTCTCGTTTGTGTACTTACATGACAGTTCAACAGCTTAGAACCGAGCACAGCCAGTAGCAAAGTGCGTTTAGGTTTTTCATTCAAACACATTCAGCTGGGTTCAGTCCAGCAGCACATACAATGAAATACCAAACTCTGAAAAGGGATGTTTTGTTTTGTGGAATTTCCCTCGGATCACACAAAACAAAACATCCCAATAAACTAAAGTACCCATGCTCACAGTTCAACTACACGTTAGCAGTATTTATTACTCACTTTACTGTAGAGTGTCTGTCAGTCAGGTTAGAGGACTCGGCGATAGCTCCGTCTAAGCTGGAAAGTCCAAGAATAAATTTGACTTAGAAAGGAACACTACCAAAGAAATTTGAGGCAACCTCCGCAGATGGCGAGCAAATTATTCCACAAACGTTACAGTACCGCGGACACGGCGAGTACCCAGGTGCGCACAGGTGTTTCTGACTTTCTTATCCACTGACCAACAGAGCTTCCGGTTCTGAGCCGCAGGTAACTAAGATTCACACAACGCGGGAAATATGAGGATGTTGTGATTGGATTGATAAAGTGGGTGTGGCCGTGGGAGGAACCATGAATTAACTGTGAGCACTGACACCTGGGAATGAATAGATGAATGGAAAAAAAACATGACAGCAAAGAAGCAGACATTTCTATTACAACACAGTTCTTTGTATTTATCTCACTATCCTATTATCATCAACATGCTCTTTTGTCATGAAAAGTCTTATTGAAAAATAATCTATAAATTCCAGTCTGTTTTTCAACAATTCAGTGGATTAAATAGAAACATATGGCTGACTATTCTTTTTTATACTTCACTTGTCATTTTCATTTTTCTTTAATATGTAGTCCTAAGCACATGCTTAGCATGTGATTCCGTTTATGAATGTCATC